TATTGTATTGGAATTCCTAGCCAGAGCAATAAGGCAAGAGACAAACATAAAAGGGATCCAAATAGGGAAAGAAGTAAAACTCTCCTTCTTTGCAGATGACATGTCCTGTATTTTAAGAAGCCCACAAGTCTATGGGATTACTTGAGCTGATCCAACACTTTGGCAAAGTAGCAGGGTATAAAATTAACCCACAAAAATCAGTAGCTTTTCTGTATGCCAACAATGAGAAGAGTGAGTCTGAAATCAGAAAAGCAACTTTATTTGTAATAGCTTTAAAAAAATAAAATACCTAGGAATAAATTTAATCAAAGAGGTAAAGGATTTCTATGATGAAAACTTTAATAAACTAAAAAAGGAAATTAAAGCAGATTTAAAGAAGTGGATAAACCTCTTCTGCTCCTGGATAGGGAGAATTAACATCATGAAAATGATAATACTGCCCAAAGCGATCTACAAATTCAATGTATTACCATCAATATACCAACAACATTCTTTAATGAAATAGAAGAAGCAATCCAAAAATTCATATGGGATAATAGAAGACCCTAAATAGCAAAAACAATCTTTAGCAGGAAGAACAGTCTTGGAGGAATATCAATACCAGATTTCAAACTATATTATAAAGTTGTCGTTAATAAAAATACCTTCATACTGGCACATGAACAGGCCTGAGGACCAATGAAATAGAATTGAAAACCCAGACATGATCCCACAGACCTATGGCCACTTAATCTTTGATAAGGGAGCCAAAACTGTCAGATGGAAGAAAGACAGCCTCTTCAGTAAATGGTGCTGGCAGAATTGGCTATATACATGTAGAAAACTAACATTAGATCCTTATATATAACACCGCACCAGAATCAACTCCAAATGGATCAAAGACCTTGTGGTAAGAGCAGATACACTGAAAACACTACAGGAAGAAAAGGGGCTATGCTAAGGCTCCTTGGCACAGGTCAAAACTTCTTAACTAAAGATCCCAAAACACAACAAATAAAAGAAAGTCTGGATAAATGGGATCAAATTAAGCTGCAGAGCTTCTGCATGGAAAATGCTAACAAGATAAATAGAAAGCTCATAGACTGGGAAAAGAGCTTTACTAGCTATAAATAGACAAGGGCCTTATATCAAAAATATACCTAGAGCTCAAAAAATTAACCCACCAATAAAATGCTTAAAGAAACAACCCCCCATTAATAAGTGGGCTAAAGAATTAAAAAGACTTCTGTGGAGAGGAAATAAGAATGGCCAAAAGATGTTCAACATCTCTGGCCATAAAAGAAGTGCAAATCAAAACAACATTGAGATTCTACTTCACCCCAGTTAGAATGGCCATTATCAAGAGAACAAATAATAATGGATGCTAGTGGGGATATGGCCAAAAGGGAAAACTACTACACTGTTGGTGGGAGTGTAAACAGGTTCAATTACTCTAGAAAGCAATATGGAGGTTCCTCCAAAAACTAAAATTAGAACTCCCCTACTATCCAGTAATCCCACTCCTGGGCATTTACCCAAATGATCACAAATAAGACCACACTAAAGCTACCAGCACAACTATATTCAGGGCACCATATTTACCATAGCTAAGATATGGAACCAACTCAGTAGAAGAATGGATCAAGAAAATATGATATATATCATATATATGATCATATATACACACATATATACATATACACACACACAAAATAGAATTCTATGCTTCCATTAGAAAGAGTAACATCACCCCATTTGTAAGGAAATGGAAAAAAATCATATTAAGTAAGCCAGACCCAAAGAAACATAGGCTCCGTGGTTTCCCTCATTTGTAACAATTAGTACACCTATAGGACAGTCCTAGCAGAGAATCACAATAGCTCACTAGACATGTTTGCATAACCATAGAAAATGATGCTAATTGAAATGAACTCAGATTCAGAAACAAAAGGATTTTTAATTGTTGTTGTTCTTTACTGTCTGAAATTTTTTCTTTCTTTTTTTTTCTTTTACCCTTTGGGATATCATTGTAGTCACTATGTTGATTCTGTTACCCTGTGTCTTGTATATATTTTTATCTGATTTGGGGAAGGGAAAGGGAATAACAAAATGGTGAAACAAAGGACAGATGATGAACCAATTCAATAGTGATACTGACAAAACACTAAGTTGGAAATGATCTCTACAACCTGGGGCGGGGGTGGTCGGGGGAGAGGGAAACTGGGAGGAAAATGAGGGAGGGGTAACAATGTTCAACAAGAAATGTACTTAGGGCTGGGAATGTGGCTCAGTAGTAGAGTGCCTGCCTAGCATGCATGAAGCCCTGGGTCGATTCCTCAGTACCACATAACAGAAAAGCTGGAAGTGGTACTCTGGCTCAAGTAGTAGAGAGGCTCAGGGATAAAGCCTAGGCTCTGAGTTCAAGCCCAGGACTGGCAAAAAAAAAAGAAACCTGTTTATTACTTTACTTATGTAACTGTAACTCTTCTAACATCATCTTTATAACAAAATAACATTAAATTAAAATTAAGAAATAAATGGAGAAATGTTGGAGGGCCAATAGGAAGGGTGAAAAATAAAAGATGGTGATAAATAATAAATCCAATAGAAGAATATTATATATAATGCAATAATATATATTTTCTATTCAGAGAGAATATTATAAAGTATTATACACAGCACAATATATATAGAGAAAATATATACACAGAATATATATGTCATTAAAGTACATAGACCAATACATATATGTCAATGTATGAATGCATGTTAGTATATTACAATAGATGATGCATGACATATATGGCACACATGACATATGTCATGTCATGTGTGGCATTTATATGACATGTGTGATATACGATGCTCATGTGACACATGTGGCATGTATGACATATGAACAAGATGTGTCATATGCAGCATATATGTGCCATGCATGTGAGAGATGACATATATGTGACATACATTTATGTCAATAAAGAATAATATTTTAAATCAATGTATATTATATATATTTGATCAGTGTCTATTATATTCATGTTATAAATATCCCATTGATATTCCTTTGTACAATTCCTCTATGCTAATACTATTTTTTAAACGAAAATGAAAAATAACCCTATTTTTTGGATCTCCAAATACTTGGGGACTTTCTGCTCCACTTTCTGTAATTAATATCTAGTTTTATTCCACAGTTATTTGAGAGCATATTTGATTTGATTTCTTTTGTGTGTGTGTGTCTGTTGTGGGGCCTGAACTCAAGGCCTGGGCTCTGTCCCTCAGCTCTTCAGCTCAAGGCTAGCACTCTACCATTTGAGCTGCAATGCCACTTCCAGCTTTTTCTGCTTATGTGGTGCTGAGGAATAAAACCCAGGGCCTCATGCATGCAAAGCAAACAATCTACTACTTACCCACCTTCCCAGCCCTGATTTCTATTTTTTTTAACTTGTTAAAATGTGGTTTCTAGTGGAGAAATTATCTACAGTAATGGTTCTGCTGAGTTTGATGATGATTTGTGTCTGCTATTATTTTATAAAATACTCTGCAAATATTCAATTAATTCAGTTAATTGGTGGTTCTCCAGTCTAAATGTGCCTTCACTCATTTTATTTTTTTAATATTTTTATTGTAAAGATGCTGTACAGAGGGGTTGCAGTTACATGAGTAAGGTAATGAGTGCATTTCCTATGGAGCATTGTTACTTCATCCTTTGTCTTTCCAGTACCATCTCTTCCCTTCATTTTTCTTCTACCTGCTGGCTCTTTCAGTTACTAACTGGGATGTTGAAATGTTTAGGTATTATAAGGAATCAATCTTTTGTAGTTCTGTCATTTTTTCTCACACATTTGGTAGTTTATTGGGCACAGGTGAATTAAAGCCTTTTACATCTTCTTGCATATGTATGTATACATATTAATTTTTATCATGAAATGTCTCTTTTTAATTTGTGATTATTTTGTTGCTCTATAGTCTGATTTGCTTGAAATTAATAGAGGCTTTCCAGCTCTGTTCTATTTTTAAAAAATGAACTCCAATATAACTTTTGTATCTTTCTGAGTAAGTACATTAGAAAATGAATGGACTTTATTCTCTAATTAGTAAGTTAAGACTGATAAAATAGCTTGCCAAATAAGCCTGAAGGAGAAAATTAGAAAATTCTTTCAATATTCAAAGCCAAAGACTTTTGGGGGGAAAAAGAATAATTTTTTTTCTTTTAGAGAAGTTCTTTATGTATATTTTTAAAAAGATAGCTGATTCAGAGAATAATGTTCATGGGAAATTCCTGATGTGAAAAAAATAAAAACAGATTCTGGCTCATCATATGTTTTCTAGCTATGACTTCACAACTCTAAACTTTTCTTCCTGATTTTTATAGCTCCATTCCATTTATTTCAAGATACTGTATTATTGAGAACCTGCTATTATTTATCCTGCAGAAGTTTGTCATATGTTACTGGTTTTTCATCATTAGCTTAACATTTTTTCAGAAAACAAGTAAACAAGGGGCAACACTGTCATTTTTTCAAGTCATCGGGTCTGGTTTTGCCTGGAGGAAAATCAAACACTATGAGTTTGCATTCAGTAAAGGTAATAGACACAGGAAAGGAGTCCAGCAGTCTAATTCCCCTGAACAACTAACAATTTAACCAAATGAATACCAGGAAGCGGAAGCATTTTTGTCAAGGGTCGGGGAGGTAAAGAAGCACGGGGACAGACGAATAGATTGAAAAGGGATAGGAAAATGTAGTCTCTATATTCCTTGTACTTATGTAAAAATGGACTTGAAGTTGTTAGACGAAAAGTCTCAAATTTCCATACTTACTTACATCATCTTTTCAGGCAAGAAAAGAGTATAATAGAAAATATGTAAGGTACATTTCTTTAATACAGTAAAAATCACCTTTTGACAAAATTCTTATCAATTTTTCATTTGATTTATTTCTATTCTTTCCCCACTTTTTCTTCAACTTTCCAACATCCTACCAAAACAGATGATACCAAATACCAAATAAGCCATGATATTTTCCATCAAATGATTTATTTAGCAATCATATATAATAGGAAATACTGAGAATTACAGCATAAGAAAATTACAGCGTAATAAAAACACAAGAATTGTAATCATGTTAAAAATTAAATAAAAGAAGTTCTAGTTAAAGGAAAGGGCAATATATACATAAAGAGAGAGATACAGATATATGTGGTAGCTGTGGATGGAATTGCAAAGTAGGATTCTTAAGAAAAGCAAACCAAAGCCTGCAGTGTCTTTTCAGAACAACTCAATGTTTGTGTCTGCTGAAGCCATGGGCACAGGCAAACTTCAGTATAACTTCTTGCTAATAAATGCCAAGAATAGCTGTCTTTTACAGAGAAAAGGAAAGATAGAATGAGGAGGAAGAAGAAAAAAGAAGATAAGTAATGTGGAAGACAGAAAAGAGAAGAGTATCAGGAACATAATCTATGTGTCAAGCTGAGTGACAACTGAAGAAGTAAGGTCTTTTCCCCACTCCCACAAGTTCAGTTATTGCACTCTGAGTCACAGAACCAGAAAATTAGACTAAAGCCCCAAAGTAGGAATTTATGAACTCTTGTATTCCTCTATATTTTTATAACAAAGTACAGAGATCATAAAATATACATAACAACAAAGTGAATGTGTTTCTATGCCATTTGAGAAGCCGTGTTTCAATTTATTCCTCTCAGGAGTGTGTACAGTCACAGAAAGACCACTGGCTCAAACAGCAACAAAAGGAATCCGACTTCCAAGATACACTCTGTTTTAAATACAGAACATTTTCTAGATGGCCAATAGCTTGGTCTTTAAAAAGACACCAAAGGCAATAGTTACAGTTTCTCCATTAATATAGAAATAAAAAGTCTGTTTTAAAGGGCAGAAAAGTCACCATGTAATATATTTCTATAAATTTTCCCCACCACATTTTAATAGATCCATCTTTACTGCTTACATTTAAAATATCAATTGTGTTGTTATGTCTATGATACAATTCAATGACTTAGCTGTGCTCTGCACAAGATTCAGATGCAACTAAAGCTAAGGATTTTATTCACAGAACATTTAAACGCAGTTTATTTAGTGTACACACAAAATGTATCTTAAATTACAATGATGCATACTTGAATATGCATACCTGAATATGGCTTACACATGAAAAGAATCTCACCACTCAGTCTTAAAAGCTTCTGGTTTTATCTGTCTCTAAAATATTGCTTAGCATCATGGGACCTGGGAAGGAAGGCAGTATAAGAGGCAACTCATGAGGATCGGTTGGGCCTACTTCCTTCTTTATTGAACTTCCTTCATTGAACTGATGGCTGGTCTCTGTTTACCCCACCCAAGCAAGGCCTACCTTTGATGAGAACAAATGTACTTACTCTCAGAATTATTTTATTTTACATTGAAAACCTACCACACCAATTGTACTTGATTTTTCTTGTTACTTAAAGAAGTACGGGTAGTTACTCAGTCTGGGCAAGGGAACGATTTAGCACATGCTCAGCAAAAGGGACAAGGAAGCAAGCCCTCTGAGACTGGAGTTTTGTTCTGTTAGTAAAAAACTCACACAAATAATAATTTTCTAGACAGGAAAGTATTGGCTTCCATTTCCACAAACAGTTTTGCTCATGCACACACGCACACAATACATAAGCACACATACACATATACTTCTCATTTTTATGCCCTGTCCTATGAAATATAACTTTTTTGCATCAAAATGGGATCAGCACCCCAGAAAAAAATTCCATTCTCACTTTGTCTCTGTCTTCAAAAATGGCTAATGCTCCTTGTAATGGTGGACTGATGATTATGTGGCTTGTGCTGTGACCATAATCATGTAGGTGATGAAAGCCCAGGACAGACACAAGGTGATCTGCTGGTCGCAGGAGAAGGTCACAGATAAAGATTGCAGGACTGCTTCCCAGCTTGAGAATTACAATGAGATGTCCATTAATTCACTGGGCCACAGCTATGATGCATCACTGTTGCCTTGAGATGTCAAAAACAGCAACCGAGCAGCCGCAACTCTTATTTTGTTCCCATGAATTCAAAATAAAGATACTTTCAATAGCCTGTTTCCTCATCTTGGAAAAAAACGATTCTTTTTCTTAATTTTTCTGTTGTTCTTTTACTGAAGACCTCAGAAATTTAATAGTTACAGCATTCTGTATAGGACAGTACCAGAAGTATATTTTAAACTGTTCCATCTGTACATGTATTGTACAGTCACTATGATGGGTTAAAAGTGGTGAAAACTTTGTAACTTCCAACGTGTGTCTTCAAAATTTATCTGGCATGGTAGAAGAAGGCCAAATTATGGAGGTAAAAACAATAGTAGAAGTGCTGACCAAAAACTCCAATCACAAGTTGAGAGAACGTATTTGGCCAGTTACTAACTTCAAATTTATGTCCTTATTCCTTGAAATGGCCTGAGCCAATTGTATGTTTGAAAGAGAAGAATAGAGTTTTTGTGGAAAGTCCAGGGTTTCAGTGTTTGCCATGCCGCTTTCATTATCCTGAAATAAAAAGAAATATCAGAGAAAGGACTGGGGTTGATGGTAGAGGATTCAAAGTTCCAGTTAGGTAACAGGAGCAAGTTTAAGATATTTCTGGGACAACAAATTGACCATAGTAATCACTCTGTTTCATATCCTTGAAATTTTCATGGTTTGAAGCCAGCACCTTCAGGAGTGTCTGTCAGACTCTAACATCCACAAAACCATCCTAAAAGCTGAAAGTGGCACTGTGGCTCAAATGGTGCTACCTTGAGCAAAAGAAACTTAAGGACAGCGCCCAGGCCCTGAGTTCAAGACTTAAGACTGTCATAAAAAATAATGAATGAGAGGGAGAGAGAAGGGGGGCGAGGGAGGGAGGGAGAGAGAGAGAGAAAGGGAGAGAGAGAGAAGATGAGAGTTAGGGAAGGAAGGAAGGAAGGAAGGAAGGAAGGAAGGAAGGAAGGAAAGAAGGAAGGAAGAAAAGAAGGAAGGAAGGAAGGAAGGAAAGAAGGAAGGAAGAAAAGAAGGAAGGAAGGAAGGAAGGAAGGAAGGAAGGGAGAAAAAGAAAAATGCTACTGTATGTGGTATTATTTTTATTTCTTAAAGTATAGAATATTCTGGCTTAGATATTCCTTAGGAAAGAAGTGTGCTTAATTTCATGTTGCTCACTTTTCTAATGATTTATTTGTGAACATCTTTGCTTTTCCTAAAATATATTTCAAGGGCTTATACTGTATGCCCAGCACCCAAGGAGACTTCTGAAATGCCTGGATTTTCAAAGATTATAAATGGATAATCTAGATGGACAATATGAAGAGGAAATATGAGACTATGTTATAATTAATAAATTGGAGATGAGTGTTAGTTGCTGAAGAACCACTTTATGGCTTTATTTCTTTCAAAGCTTCATATATAAAACAGAAATTAAAACCTCTGGCTATGAAATTGTTGGAAAGACTGTGATAACACATGTAAGATGTTTACCATAGTTACAGTCATATATGTGTCCTTGTAAGTCAAGGATACTGCAGAAGAAATTATCTCAAAAGCATATCACACTTGAACTCTTTAATGCCCAGAGTTGAAAAGGTGATGATAACACTGAAAAGGTCTGGTTTGGTACCCTCGGCATCTTACCTTGTCCTCATTGCTACCCTAACATCAAGGTCTAGTGGAGAACTTGGGTTTTGTTTCTTACCTGTTATTGTTTCTAGGAGATATTAAAGCATCTTCACTGAACATGTACACCTCTCCTTTCTGCCTATTCCTCTTTGTTAGACTCAAGATCGTGTTTTTCAATTTTAATAGACATAAATATAAATGTATTAAAATTTAGAACTCTAAGGCATCATTCTCTGTTAATAATTTGGTAGACTGAAGGCAAGTCTTAGAAATTGAACCCATAACACATATATCTACAAATAGTAGTGAATATAGTATTCGTTTTGTATCATATGCTGTGTCCAATATATCAGCAGGCATACATATTCATATTTCCTACATGAAACACCGAAACCAATGTGAAACAGTTGTATTTTCTGCATGAAAAAGAAAAAGAAATAACCCACCTATATACAAGAGTTTATTCTCTTTAAGATTAAAATATTAGCTTCAGTAAATGCATTTTTATTTATATTTAAAGTGTATCTGTTAAAGTTTTACCACAGAAGATCAAAGATAAAAAAATCTTTTTAAAAAAATATTCTAACATTGGGTACTGATAATTTGCATCAGTAATATTAGCTACTCAGAAAGCTGAGATCTGAGGATCATAGTTCAAAGCCAGCCCAGGCAGGAAAGTTCTGAGGCTCTTATATTCAATGAAACAGGAAAAAAAGAAAAGCTAGAAGCAAAGGTCTTGTTTAAGTCATAGAACACAATCTTGATTGAAAAAACTATGTGATAGTACCCATGCACTGAATTCAAGCCCCAGAACTAGCACACACACACACACACACACACACACACACACACACACACACACACACACACACACACACAAACACATACACACAATCTAGGTATGATAACTTTACTTCTAAGGATACTCTAACAACCACTCATTTTAGAAATTGGGTTTGTTCCCCAAGATAAGGACTCAAATGTTTTTTCTTTCTTGTGATTGTTTTTAACATATTTATAAGATGATTTCTTTGTTGCTTTGTATGTCCCTCCCTCACGGTATAACCCCTGTTTTCACTGTACTTGATATTGGTATAATTTGTGGAAGGGAAGGGAAAAAAACAAATTGTTTAGATAGGGATACAGGTGGACCCATTGCAACAATGAGATGTATAAGACATTACATCAAAAGCGAACTTCACAATTTTGGCTGGAGAGTGGGGGACTGGGAAGTGGGAAGGGGAGGGGAGGGGAGAGGAGAAAGGATAGGAAGGGGAAACAAAGGAGGAGGCAACAATGCTTGATAAGAAATGTACTCATTACCTTGTCCATGTAATTGTAACCCCTCTGTACGGTATTTTCACAATTAACAAAAAAAGGAAGAAACTGGGTTTGTTGTCAATAAAATCAATTACCTTTCACATTTAAAATGACAGAAGCTTTTAAGGTATTTAGTATCTATGGATGTGTGTCAGCTTGCTTTTCTTCGGCATTTACTGAATCTTCTGTGCTCTTATGAAGATCAGGCTCACCTAAAAATAAAATAAAAGAGACAAGACAAAAATTAGTCTTTGAACATGATTCAGATGAGGTTGGGAGATTCCGCAACTGGTACAATGTTGAAGACTGGATAAAATAATTTTCTGGTGATCAGTTAACATCTGAAACTATAATTTAGTCTAGGAATATGCAAACGAATTACACAGATATATTTAGATGTTTATTAAATCATGTGTGAAATTATTCTGAGTTTTCCTCAATATTGTTAATAAAAATGAATTCTTTAAAAAGCTCCAATGATCAGTACCTTTATCACTGATGAGTTTCAATGAATATAAAACAAATTAAAACAAATGAGAAGAGATTAGAAATATTTCAACTAAAATAATCTGCTGTAAGAAACTAATGGAATTTATGATCTTAGAACCACTCAAGTTCAATATACGTCTCATAGAATAGTAAAACATTAGCATAGAAAATATTCTAGTACTTCTTGAGAAATTGTAGAAGATGGATCACCATTATAAAGTTGTAGAGGATTAGTCAAAATTGAAATGATAAAACAAAATGTTCAGATAAGAATCTTATTATACAAGATATAAATTTAACAAAATAATTAGAAATTAAATTGTTGAGTCAATTACTGAAAATACCTTACTAATTTAAAAACTATTTATATATGAAAGAAGGCTTTTTTGTCTGAAATTTGATTGAGAATATTTTAGCAATTATACTTTTCAGGAGTTAACTCTGAGACAATTCTTCCAACGTATATTGTGAGACTGTGAAAACTCAGTTGAAGGAAGTTTTTACTGAAGTTGTATAATTAGCAAGCATATATAATTTATAAGGAAAAATCACAAAGCAAATGTTATTTGTGATTTTTATTATTATTACAGTCTCACCTATTGTCTTTTTAAAATATACCTAATGAATCCAGAACCCAGTGTCTCATGCCTGTAATCCTGCCTACCCAGCAGGCTGAGATCTGAGAACTGCAGTTTGAATTGCAGTCTGGGCAGAAAAGTCCTTGATTAACCAGCAAAAAGCCAGAAGAAGAGCTGTAACTAACTCAAATGGTAGAACTAGCCTTGAGAATAAATGCACAGGGATAGATCTCAGGCCCTAATTTCAAACCTCAGGATCAGCACAAATAAAATAATATAAAAATAATAAAAATATACTCTGTGAGGTAATCATCTGTTTTAGCATCAAAATGTCAAGTAGTCTCATAATTTTCTTATCATTCTTAGATAATAAACATCTTGTAGCTATAGATTTTTACCAGACTACAAGAGGGACCCATGATTGAAAAATTCTTGAATCCAACTCCCAGTGGCTCATGCCTGTAATCCTGGCTACTTGGGAGACTGAAATCAACAGGGTTGAGACTGCTAGGGTAGAAAAGTTTCCAAGACTCTTGTTAAACCATAGCTGGATACGGTGGCATGTACCTAATTTCCAGGCCCCCTCAGACTCTGTGGCTTGGAATATCATGGTTTCAGGCCAGCCCAGGCAGAAATGTCCACAGGCTCCATCTCCATAAAAAGAAGCTAGATGCAGTTAGTGAGTTGGGCCTGTGATTCCAGCAATGATGGGAAAGGAGACTCTATCTAAAAAAATAGCAGCAAAAAGAGGGCTCGAGTAGTAGAGGACAGACCCTAAGATCACCTCAATAGCTCCAAAAAGTAAAAATAAAATCACGTGGATTTCTAAACTGTATGGCTGTTTCTCTTGGGCTCTGAAGATCATCAAGAATAATTTTTGATGGATTAAACAATGGAAATCATTTTTTCTGGCAGAATGATTGGTTGAAATGATATAAGTTTCATCTTTATGAAATACTGACTGACTTACAAGTAATATTACCCAAGTTAACTGTAAAGTTAACTGTAAAGTCTTCCATAAATTAAGAGGATTTACCAAGAGCTCTAATTTAGTGTGTCCTAAACAATCTGGCTTGAAATTGCTCAGCAACACTGTGTGTGCCCTTAAAAATCAATAAAATGCTACAGTTCTGAAGAAAGATACTTTCTTAATGTTGTAAAACTCTCAGCATAAAAGTTGGCCATAATATTTAATATGTTGCCTTCTAATTACATGTACAGAACTATTCTTGGATGTGATTTAATTATTGTTTGGGGAAGAAACTATTTTTTGTAAGTGGTGTATTATTATGAGTTTTTCTTTTCTTCTTTCCCTTGAGACTCGACATAGAAAGAGCAATATTTTTAAACCAGAGACCAAAATATCCCAACTTTCTAGAGGCAATACTGTTAGTATTAAATAGCCAACACATTTTCAGTGGGAAGCACTTTTCTTGTTCACCTTCTAACTAGGATGAAAAGGGAAGAGACAGGAAAATATGTCCATACATCATTTGCCATTTTTTCCCATTTTTAAAACTAAACCCACTTACAGTCAATACCAACCTGAATATGTCTTTACCATGTGGTACCTGTTTAGAAGGAAGATTCAGAAAATGCTGATCATAGGAGGGGAGTCAGGGGACGGAAAATGAGAACAAAACGAGAGAGGGGTAGCACTAACAAGAAATATACTCATTCCCTGACTTATGTAACTGCAACCTCTCTGTACATCACCTTTACAATAAAATAAAATATAATATAATTTTTAAAAAGGATGTAAAAAAAGAAAAGTAAATGTTGATCATGGTCATGATCCAAAATTTCATCAGAGTTGTGTTGTTCCTGATAATATTTGCAAATACTGTCTGACAAATCTGTACAATGAATTGTCTGTACAATGAATTGAGTTCAATTCACTGTACAGATTCAAAATGGCAAGTAAATTTTTTATTCTTGCACTGACTGCTTATATTATCTCTTGGGTTTAGGCTACCAAATGGTGGAGGGCTAATTAGGTTCCAAAACTCAGACAGATAGAAATCAATCCCATATTAGGTAGCCATCTTTTACCTGGGATGGGAGACACTTGTGGCTTTATACAATTCATTCCATGTTACTTGTTTCTTTCCTATGTAAATGTTCGTATCTACTCTTTCCATCAACGAGGAGAAGTTGTGTAAGGCAATTTCATCTATTTGTGGTTTTTGAAAGTAGTGGTGGAAGAAATTGCTACTTTTGGAAATTCTTATGGGTTTAAATTGATCTTGTGGGAGGAAAATAACCTTGTAAATTTATGAGTTAAAATGAAATCACTTTAAGCAATTAGCTACAAAACATTTTATTGATCTATAACCTTCAGCCAGGATTCTGGAAAGTGCTGATACCTTTGATCTATGAAGTCTGAGTACTCCCATGATTGAAGTGAAGTTACTTAACATGAGTAGCTTCTCTATTATCCATGAAGCTAGCATTAAAACTGTATTGCAATCTTGTTGAACTGACGTTAGTTGATGAGACTTCTATTTCTCATGGTTCCTGGGTTTTCCTTTGCTACAAACTTACTAATTCTCTTTTAAAGAAGCCTAACACAGAAGGGTAATACAACATTATGAAAGCCTTCTGAGTGAACCTCATGTCCAGAGTGATAAAGATCCATTATCAGGTAGTCCTTAGAGTGTACATCTCTCATTTCTATCACTAACATTTTCCTAATATGAATCAAATTCACTGCAAGCCATCCCAAATCACCTGCCATCAATTACATGATGAAGTATGGTCCTTGCCTATTTTCTGAAGAAAATATGGTAATAAAGTTTTAGGATGCGATCACCATGTTTTTTGAAGGCTTATGTAATAAATCCAACCAGAAGAGGATTTGGTGGTGCTGTACCTTTCCCTTCACTTTTTGTAATGTTTTATTTGAAGGAACAAAATACAGACATTATGTACACACAAATTTACTGAATTGGCTGGGTCTTCTTTTTGAGACTATCTTGGGCTACAGGACAGTATTTCTTTCTTTAAAGAGTCATTTTCTTTACCTAAAAAGGTCTGTTCCAAGAAAAGGTAAAGGCAATTATTTAAAAGCTATGCACATATGACCAGATGAAGTTAAGTGAAATGAACCCCAAGATAAGGACACATGTGGTTTTTTTTGTTTCTTTCTTGCTATTGTGTCTAATGTACTTATAAGGTACCATGTAATTTTTTTTGTTGCTTTGTATGTTCCTCCCCCACGGTATAACCCCTGTTTTTACTGTGTTTGATGTCAGTATAATTTGAGGAGGGGAAGGGAAAAAACAAAATGTTTAAATAGGGATACAGGTGGACCCATTGCAACAATGAGATGTACAAGATGCTATGTTGAAAAACCAACTTTACAATTTAGGTGGGGGGGGGATGGAGAAGTAGTTGTGGAGATGGGAGGGAAGGGATGGTAGGGGAAAAACAAAGGAGGAGGCAACAATGCTTGATAAGAGATGTACTCATTACCTTGCTCATGCAACTGTAACCCCTCTGTACAGTATTTTCACAATAAAAACTTATTAAAAAAGAAAATAAAAATTATATATAGGCAGTTCACTCACAGCTTTATGGAGTAGGCAGAAATATTAAGAATTCAGAATAAGCCAGTTGCATCCCTTCATTTTCTCATGCACTAAACTTGATGACTTTAAAAGGTACTTGAAAGATCCACTCTAAAGTTTATCTTAATGGATAAATTAAGATTGGAAAGCTGATGAAAATCATTTTTCATTAAGATTGATTCACCACACAGCAATTCACTAGGTAGATGGAGCTACCCTATTATAAATTTGTCAATTTCATGAGAAGATGGAAAGGGAAATTAGGAGAACAATTCCATTTACAATGGTCTTAATAAAATGAATAAAAATAAAATAAAATATCTAGGAGTAAGCATAACCAAGAAAGTGAAGGGCATCTATTATAAAAACAATAAAACTTTGAAAGAGATTGAAGAAGACACCAAGCGGTAGAAACAGCTCCATGCTCATGGGTTGGCAGAATTATTGTGAAAATGGCCATAGAGTCAAAGACGATCTACAAATTCAGTGCAATACCCACCAAAGTCCCAATGTCAGAGATAGATAAAGCAACCCAAAATTCCAAAAGGCCTTGGAGAAACAAAGCAAACGAGCAAA